GATATTCCTCGTCTATAGTTCGACCCACGTTTTTTAGGGTAATGGAACAACAAAACCTTCACTAAAAACACTCCACGTCCTATAAACTGAGGCTCGCCGTACATGAAACACGAGTGCCGAAGGCAAATTGTTTACCATTTATTATTACGACACTTTACACTGAAACGCGGGTAGTTTCAACAAAAATATTGTATATTTCCATTCAAGTCAATTAGGAGGGAATATTATTGTAATACAACAGTTTTTTAACTAAACCATTCGAAAAGCGATTACGGTAACATCTTTTGAACGAAAGAAAGCGAAAGTCATTGCTTTCGTCACGATTTTATCCCACTTTCCACTGTAATACGTACATAATTTCAGCAAAAATATTACATTTCCGTGAATGTATTATATCAAGCACAGTATGAATAGAATATCATTATAATATAACAGAATTTTAACCGAAAACACTTAAAAAAACGAGTAACATCTCAAGAACAGAAGCTTAGGTAAAGTCTTTTGTTTTCGTCATGTATTTTATCCTATTTTACATTGAAATACATCACGTTTCGGCAAAACTACTACTTATTTCCGAGAATATATTCATTGAGGCGCAGTTTAGGTAAAATATACGTGTGATGTAATAGTTTTTTAACTGAAAACGATTCGAAAAACACGTACCCTCTTTGCCTTGTTCAAGGAGAGGACTGGGAGAAGCTGTTTGGTGCTGCAGACGATGACAAGGAAAATGATTTTGATGGATTTTAATGAAAATATTCAGAAATATGGTATCGTAGTATTTATTCAAGTCAATTAGGATGGAATATTATCGTAATACAACAGTTTTTTAACTGAAAACCATTCGAAAAGCGATTACGGTAACATCTTTTGAACGAAAGAAAGCGAAAGTCATTGTTTTCGTCACGATTTTATCCCACTTTCCACTGTAATACGTACGTCATTTCAGCAAAAATATTACATTTCCGTGAATGCATTATATCAAGCACAGAATGAATAGAATACCATTGTAATATAACAATATTTTAACCAAAAACTATTAAAAAAACGAGTAACTTCTCTTGAACATCGGAAGGTTAGGTAAAATCTTATTGTTTTCGTCATGTATTTTATCCTATTTTACATTAAAATACATCACGTTTCAGCAAAACTACTATTTATTTCCGAGAATTTATTCATTCAGGCACAGTTAAGGTAAAATATAGATGTGATGTAACAGTTTTTTAACTGAAAACGATTAAAAAAACACGTGTACCGTCTAGCTGATACAGCTGGTGGTGCATGATGCGTCGTTGTAAACAAGAGGAGGTTGAAGTAGATTACCGGATATTATATTAAGTGTGAAATATCGAAAAGGTTTTTAATACCAGTATTTTTTGTAGATCAATGAGAACTGTGATACCGTATATTATATGATAAGTTAGCCTGTGCTAAGAACTTCAACATAGACTACTGAAAGCACGTTGTAAGGTAATTTAGCCTATTGTAAGTTGGTGAGCTTCATTTACTGAAGGAACTGCACAACTTTTCATTACAAATTGGTACATATTTTACGTTTCCATTGTTTACTGGCAGTAAATGGTAAATATTTTTCATGTCTGAAGCTAAAAGTTGCTCCTCACCCTTCCCATCATGCACGAGTTCAACCTAACAAAACTATTACGCATGTAAAGGATGACCCCCCAATTTTTTGCCTAAAAATTTAGTCTTAAAAACTCGAACTATACACGAGTATATACGGTATTTAAAATAATCACTATCTTATAAGAATTCTAGCAATGTAAATTATTCTGGCCAAGAAATTTTTATGAAATTTATGAGCTAAAACAAATATCTTCAGTAAATAAACAAATTATACTTCACCCAGACCTTATCTGTCAATCAAAATACCCCACCTGCTCTCTCCCCCTCTTCCCACGCTTGCTGGGTCCCTCCCTCCCTACCCCCACCTTCCCTCCCTACCAGAGAAATGTTTGGGTGAAAACATTAGGCTTACATTTTTAGTAATAAATAATACCTCAGACTAAATTTAGGATAATATAATTGACACTGCTGGATTCCATGCAAGACCAGGATTATTTTTAATATAAACGTCATATATTTTGCACAAAAGATAAAATTTTGGCGCTTTTTAATCAAAATTCTTACATTAGATCTAAAATTTGTACAGTATTACCCCGCCTAACGCGGTTTCACTTAACACGTTTTATCATATACGCGGTGCCTCGCCAGAGCTGAACTTTCACTTAACACGGATTTTTTCCACATATACGCGGTGAGTGTCCGGCTCGAGACGCTATTTTTAGATTTGCCCCACCCGCCACCCTGCCTGACTGCCTGTTTTAGCTCATAAAATTCATACAAATTACCCGGCCAAAATATAATTTACATTGCTGGAATTCTTATAATTTGGTGATCATTTTGAATATAAACATCATATATTTTGCATTAGACATACAAATTTTAGATAAAATGTTTTCTCTTGTAAATATGTTATCTTTTGTGCAAAATATATGACATTTATATTCAAAATATTCCTGGTCTTACAAGGAATCCAGCAATGTCAATTATATTATCCTAACTTTAATCTGAGGTATTATTTAATACAAAATGTTAAAATTTATTTTTTTCACCCACTCTTCTCTTGAAGGGACGATTGGTGGGGGGTGGGGGGTGGGGGGAGGGTTGGGACTGACGCGCGGTTGGAAGAGGGGGGAGGCAAGGTGGGGTACTTTGATTGACAGATAGTGTCCTGAAGAATATTTTTTTTTTTATTAACTGAAGATATTTGTTTTAGCTCATAAAATTCATACAAATTACCCGGCCAGAATATAATTTACATTGCTGGAATTCTTATAATTTGGTGATCATTTTGAATATAAACATCATATATTTTGCATTAGACATACAAATTTTAGATAAAATGTTTTCTCTAGTAAATATGTTATCTTTTGTGCAAAATATATGACATTTATATTCAAAATATTCCTGGTCTTACAAGGAATCCAGCAATGTCAATTATATTATCCTAACTTTAATCTGAGGTATTATTTAATACAAAATGTTAAAATTAATTTTTTTCACCCACTCTTCTCTTGAAGGGACGATTGGTGGGGGGTGGGGGGAGGGTTGGGACTGACCGCAGCACGGTTGGAAGAGGGGGGATGCAAGGTGGGGTACTTTGATTGACAGATAGTGTCCAAGAATATTTTTTTTTTTTATTAACTGAAGATATTTGTTTTAGCTCATAAAATTCATACAAATTACCCGGCCAGAATATAATTTACATTGCTGGAATTCTTATAATTTGGTGATCATTTTGAATATAAACATCATATATTTTGCATTAGACATACAAATTTTAGATAAAAATGTTTTTCTAGTAAATATGTTATCTTTTGTGCAAAATATATGACATTTATATTCAAAATATTCCTGGTCTTACAAGGAATCCAGCAATGTCAATTATATTATCCTAACTTTAATCTGAGGTATTATTTAATACAAAATGTTAAAATTTATTTTTTTCACCCACTCTCTTGAAGGGACGACAGGGGGGGGGAGGGTTGGGACTGACCGTGCAGTTGGAAGAGGGGGGAGGCAAGGTGGGGTACTTTGATTGACAGATAGTGTTGTGAAGAATATTTTTTTTTTTATTAACTGAAGATATTTGTTTTAGCTCATAAAATTCATACAAATTACCCGGCCAGAATATAATTTACATTGCTGGAATTCTTATAATTTGGTGATCATTTTGAATATAAACATCATATATTTTGCATTAGACATACAAATTTTAGATAAAATGTTTTCTCTAGTAAATATGTTATCTTTTGTGCAAAATATATGACATTTATATTCAAAATATTCCTGGTCTTACAAGGAATCCAGCAATGTCAATTGTATTATCCTAACTTTAGTTTGAGGTATTATTTATTAAAATTTAGTGGTTTTCCCCCAAAAATTTCTCAGAGAGGGAAGAGCCAGCAGTGTAGTGTGAGAAGGGGGAGGGAGTTGAGTCCATTATTTGAATGGACATTAACTTGGCGACTGTATTTCTCTATTTCTCTTAAGTATTAATTGTGTGCATGTACCATCATAAAATTAAGATGTTATTTTTACTACAACATAGTTATGTGTCTTCAAAAAGTGGAGTTTGGGGGTCGGGCTGGTTTCTATTGGAATTAATCCCATATGTTCTGTTGTTCACTTAGCGCGGATTTCACTTAACATGGGACCCTCTGGGTTCTATTGACCGCGTTAAGTGGGGTACAACTGTATGTCTAATGCAAATTCCATGATGTTTATATTTAAAATAACCACAATCTTATAAGCATTCCAGCAATGTAAATTATATTCTGGTTGGGTAATTTGTATGAATTTTAGCTAAAACAAATATCTTCAGTAAATAAACAAATTATACTTCACCCACGTAAATGACCAAATTTACCGCGTAATTACAATATTTCATTCTGGCAAGGCACCGCGTAAATCCAGACTCAACTGTAAAGGATAAAAATTATTTTTGTTAAAGTTGATTTTTCTCGTTTTACTCCGCATTGGGGGTATGGCCGGCAGCACCCTAGCCCGGGGCATAAGGGTTAATTTTCCACAAACAGTATTACATGAGAGTAAATGAGGAGAAATTGAACAATTTGACATTCTGCTCACTTCAGGAAGAAAAATCATGATTGACATTGATCATTTACATGCTATCTGATCTGAAATCTTGCTGAGAACAAAACTCCTCCCATGTTTTAATAAATGTAGACCAAAAACTTGATAGTTAAATGCATAAGTCTGCTTGGCGTATTGCCTGGCTATGAATCTGTTCACAGACAGGCAGAAACTATTACAGGCATGTAAAATGAAAAAAAATGGCAGAAATTGTGATGATACAAATGATGAAATTAGATTTGTCACCACTGTTTAATCTCATAATTCATTATGAGAAAATCTAACTATAAATACATCAATCAGTTTATTACACATTAACTCACCTTTCCATTTTTCACTCCTTCCACGGAAACTGTAATCTTGTCGCCTTCTTTAGAGGCACTCATAACCTTAGTACCAAGTTTGAATTTAATGCCTTGCTTAGTGAGGATTCGTTGGAAATTCTTTGAGATTTCACCATCAATTCCCAAGCCACCAATTGATCCAAGAAATTCCACAGCAGTCACTTGAGCACCCAGACGAGACCACACTGATCCCTAAAATTAAAGACCATAAAGTACTGATAATATAAAGGTAGGAATAGCTACACAATCAAATATGTTAACAAGTTTATCATTACTATAGAAAACACACATACACACACATGTATGCATGCATTTTGTATATCACATAACTTTCATAAACTCAAATCCTTTGTTTCAATAATCTTTAGTCTTTGGCAAAGGAAGCCTTGGTAAGTAGATTTGACAATGGCACTAATCTAAACTCTTCCTGCACATTTTAATTTGAAAAAAAAAAATCAACTTTCATATGGCAATTAAAAGGTACAGAAAGGAAGGGTGACGAATATAGAAATCATTCCTACTCAAAAATTCCACATACACAGGGAAAATTTTACCTACCAGTTCCAGACCAATTACTCCAGCACCGATAAGAATCATTTTTTCTGGGACCTTTTTCAGCTTTAAGGCGCCAGTTGAAGAGACAACCACATCTTCATCAACATCAATGCCAGGGAATGGAGTAACTTCTGATCCAGTGGCAATGAGTATATTCTTAGTTTTGACAATATCACTTGTGCCATCTTCTTTAAGTACAGACACTTCATTAGGACTGATTATCTTACCATGACCCTGAATGAGAAAAAATAAAACATCAGCATCAGCTTAAAACTAGTCTAGTACTAAGCTTGTGCTCCATCTGACTGGTAGCACTTCAAGTATTTCAAAATTATCATGGAATTCTATCTACTGTATTTAAATCTTTTCACTCCCCATTTACATTAGAACATCAACTATCTAAAGCTAAGACTCATAGCACATCTTGATTTTTTTTACATTAGTTGGACTCTTATCCCACGCACGCACGCGCACACACACAAAAGAAGAAACACAGAACAGGTCTCACCCAGCGCAGCTTAGTATGTCTAATTTCACTTTAATAGTGATGGCTTATTGAACCAATCTTAACCCTTAGGCCCCGGGTGACGTTCCAGAATGTCCGACCAACGCGCCCCGGGTGATGTTCCAGAACGTCCGCCTATTCCCGCCACTGCTTAAATGCTCAGCATGGGTATCAGATTCCAGTGTGACTATTTGCCAGTCACACCACATGCCAGGCCACAGGGAAGCTTCCTGAACATAATTACCTACTTTTGTTTGTTTCATTTTCATTGTCTATTTTATCATGTTGCATCAAAGTAATATTGCTAAAAGTAGTGTAGTTGTATTGTAGTGTAGTATTACTGTAAAATAAAGTTATGATTATGTTATAAATGTATTTATTTGTGGAATTATTGTTCTTTTATGCATTAATTGCTCTACCAAGCACAAAGACAACCAGGCAGACTGGCAACCGACTGGTGAGTGTTGCCAAGCACTTTATGAAAAATTATGTAGATAAAATATTCTAAATGAATTATTTATAGCAAATAATTATTAAGATCAGTATATATATGCATTACTGGCCACCTCAGATACAAAGGCGAGCTAAAAATAGCTGCTAAGTGCATAAGGACCACGAGAGTCAGCTGTCAAACCAACACTGTCTCCTTATCTCCTCCCTCCCTCAGCGCAGCCAGGAAAGTTTCTAGAGGGTCAATATATAGATTTTTCTTACTTATTTTTTATTGTTTTATCATTTAAAAGGATAAAAATTATTTTTAGAAAAGTTGATTTTTCTCGATTTATCCCCGCATGGTAGGGGAGGGGGAGAGGGTACTGCCAGCGGCACTCTAACCCGGGGATTAAGGGTTAAAGGACCCAGGATATAACATTTACCCACATTTCCCACGCATTTGTGCTGATTTCTCGTGCATCACAGTGATTTCATTTATTCATAACAGTGTTGTGAGAGTTTTGAATCATGCCTTGTGTTGCTGGCAAGGGTGGAGGGGTGGGAAAACATAAAAAGTACAAGGAGATTGCACCATGTGGTGATAGTGTGGTGTCTTAGCATGCTTATCAGAATGCAAAATTTACACCACTATTACCTAGCAAAATGTTAATTTTTTTTCACAACTTTTCTTCTATAACTACTTTTTCCTAAATATGTATGCTTTATACCTGCATGTTATTTTTTTTGCGAAATCAGTTATTTTGCAAAATTCTTGCCATGCATATTGGTAATTTTGCTAAATAACTTACAGACAGACAACCTAAAAAGGTTGGGTTAGGATGGCTCGTGTAGATTGATACATAGTTAAGTGGCCCTGTTCTTTTTTTTAACTTTGGTTAGCCTGTTTGGAAGTTATTTTGCAAAATTACCAATATGCATGCCAGGAATTTTGCAAAAAAACCGATTTTACAAAAAAAAAAGTAACATATAATAAAATAAGGTTCATATTGGAATCACATTAAACAACAAAGGTATATAGTGATTTACAAACAATTCCAATCAGCGTAAAAAAAAATTTGGTTTTCTATTCTCCAATCTTTTTATCTCAAATAGTAAGCTTGCTATGACTCATTGCATACAATTATCTCTAATGTTGTGCAGTCAAGTGCAGTGAGGTGAGTAACAGGCCAGACCCCGAACTCACGGGAGAGCGCCTACCCAAACCCAAGAGTGTTAAGATACCTGTGTTAGCACCTCAGCATCTTCTGATATATGTGTGTGTGTGTGTGTGTGTGTGTGTGTGTGTGTGTGTGTGTGTGTGTAATAATAATTAACGGTTTATTGAAAGAGCTTGGCAGCCAGAAGGCTGAAAATATACAGTTACATATTTGGGGAATGGGTTACGCATTACAAATAATATACAAGTAACATAAGTGACACAAATAAGACATATAATAATTAGATGGGGAAAAGCTCAAACTACAGTTCATTTCAACATAGTGACAGTGTAAGGAGTAGTGTTTACTGGGAGTGAATACACTGATTTATTACAAGTTATTGATAATTTTTACAATGGTTGGGACTGGGCTGTTCTTATAGCGATCAGTTCGTGCACGTATGGGCTGGATGCGGTTGTGGTGTCGAACAGCAATTCTCGGACAAGGGATCTCAGGTGGTAGTAGGAGCCGGTGTCGGGGATGGTGTAGAAGCTTCTTACCAAATTTGCAGATGAGGTCGTGGTGATGGTCAGTGAGAGTCGAAAGGGTCAGTGTGTTGAGCGCTTCTTGATATGTGGAGTAGGAAGGGGAGAGAATAATCTTGCATGCCCTCTTTTGCACTTTTTCTAGGTGTTTACGTTGTGTGGCATTTAGGGAGGAAGACCGGGTGGGGGAGGCATAGGTGAGCTTGGGAAGTATGAATGTTGTGTAAACACTGAGGAGCTCGTGTGCAGGAACCCGGTGGACTTGAGTCAAGGAGGAGGTGGAGACGAAACTGAGGATTTGACAACTTCACCGGGACGGGTGGGTTTCCAAATTAGTTTGTTGTCTACAGACGCCGAGGAGCCAGGAATCTACAACCTGGAGGTGCAAGTTCGGACCTATAGAGTAATGGAAGGAGGTGGGACACGTCGGAGGAGAGGTTGATGTATAACCATGGTCTTGGCATGTTGATGGTGACATGGTTGTTGGTGGCTCAGTTTTGGAGACTGTTCAACAAATCCCCAGAAGGGCGGCAGAGTTGGGAGCAGAGCTGACGCGATCCCAATGGTGAGCCGTCGATATTTCAGCGAGCAGGGGTTTTCTTAGGGTACTGGGCTGATATATAAGGAAGCAGGAGTGGTCCCATCTTGGTGCCTTGGGGGACGCCACAGGTGAGTGACTGAAAGGTGGAGACAGCCCCTCGGAAGCGTACAGCTTGGCGTCGGTCACTGAGGAAGTCTGTAAGCCATGGTGTGAGATTTCTCCGAAGCCCGAGGTCAATAGCTTTGTTTATGATTATATTGTGGTCGACTAGGTCGAACGCTTTAGTGAAATCAACGAAGGCGACAGCTACAGACGTTTTTCGTTTCTCGAGATGGCGGTATATGTAATCGAGAAAGCTGACAAGACAGTGAGTGGTGGAGGAAGTTTTCATGTTGCCAAATTGCTGAGGGTCTACGACTCCTGCAATATCAGCATAAGCCCTGTCAAACACAAAACTTTCACAGATTAGGCTGGGTATTGGGGTGATTGCAATAGGTCGTAGCTGGTTTAAGGATTGTGGGCTGGTTGACTTGGGCACTGGTGATACATAAGAGGTCTTCCAGTCAGCTGGGCATCTGGCTTGACTGAGAGAAGCATTGATGATGGAGCAGAGGGGTTTAGCAAGCTCCGGGGAGAACTCCTTGAACAGTTTCATTGGTAACTCAATTGGGGTGGTAGAGCGTTTTAATTTTAGTTTGTCCAGGCGTTTTGCTACGTCAAATTCTTCTACTAAGTCAGTGGGAAGGGGGGCTGGTAGGTAAGCAGGGAGAGTGGTTGTGTCAAGCCGTGGGAGCGTCTGGCATATAGTAGCGAAATGGTTATTTGTTTGCTCAGCTGCGTCAACATTAGTGAGATGGCTGAGGAAGGGGAGGGGATGTGTCATATTGTTTAGTCCACAGAGTTCTTTAAGCTTACCATACCATTGACTGATGTTGGTCTGCTTCAGGTGTTGTAATTTGGTTGGGTAGTGGGACTTCTTTGCAGTGCGTATTTCGCGGATGACTCTGTTGCGAAGTGACCTGTAGCAGATGTGGTCATTGAGATGAAAGGCTCTGTCTCTCTGTTGCATAAGTCTTTTGATCCGAGGTGTGATCCAGGGCAAGTCAGCTGGGTGAGATCTGATGGACTTCTCGGGGAAGAAGTGGTGGTGAGCTTCCGTGGTGGTGTTGGTATAATTTATCCATTTGGTTTCCACGTCATCCACGCTAAGTACTTCAGTCCAGGGATGGTGAACTATCCACTGCCCGAAGAGGCGCACTGTAGAGTCAGTAATCGGCCTGTAGGTCCTGATGTAGGGTCTCTGTACTTGAGTGGGAGTGGCAGCTGGGGACCAGAGCACTGATAAGTGTGTGCTACACCCGATAGGAGGCATTGGTTGAGGTGGTTGGTACTGGTCCGCTAAGTCAGTTAAGATAAGGTCAAGGGTATTTTGACCGTGTGTGGGGAAGGTCACAACTTGTGATAGTGATAGTTGGTCCTGGATATCAGTGGTGTCAATTTCATTTAAATCCCCACATAATACTAACTTGGCACATGGGTACCTAACTCTGAGGTGGTCTGAGGTGGTGATGAGATGATTGATGAGAGTGTCTCTGGTGGGTGATCGAGGCGGATGGTATGCTACACAGATTATGATGGGGGCAGTGTTGCGTGGGTGTGCCCGCAGCACGACACGTACCCATAATGCTTCCACATCTGCTGGGACTTGAACATCCAGGCGTGAAGGGCGTAGGTCATCTTGACAGAAGAGGGCAACGCCCCCTCCGCGTCTTTGTGGACGAAGGTGATGAAAGAGTTGATATCCTTCAATGTGACACGTTTCAGGTACAATTTGCCAAGTCTCACATATGGCAACCACGCGCGCGGCGGTTGACCTGACTGTAGTTGCCAGCTCGTAGAACTTGTTAGCTAGGGAAGTGACGTTGGATAGCAGTAAAGACGGGAGATCATACCATATCCGTGGAACTTCAGTGTGGTGGTATGGTCTGTCAGGGGTGGGTTTCTCCGGTTTCCTAGTGGAGGTTACGGTTCTAATGGGCTTGTGTGTATGACGG